TGGGGGCGCAGGACTTCTTCCAAAGTGGTGTGCTGCCTGCAAAACCTCACCCGTTTGTTGCAGGCAGGCTGAGCTGCTATTTCTGAGAAGGCGATCAAGGGTGGCCAGATGTTTCCGCCCCGGGAAGATTTGCTCTCTGAGGAAACGAGGGAGGCAGGATATGACCCTGCAACTAGAAAGAGTTGATCAGACCCTGATCAACTGCCCTGCGGAGATTATAGGGGGGATTGCGCACTGCTCTTTCTCACCAGCCTCCTGGACTTGATTCATCCCTGTACCTTCTGGTGACTCCGGTGCTAGCTGCTGTGATGACAGAAGCTAAATTCTGTTGTTTAAAATGCCTGAGTTTACTAAGATGCATCTGCCTAGTTTTGTCGATTTGGAGCGTAACTAAGGTGTAGCTGTGCCGGTGCGTTCAGGACCCTGGGTGCATCCTCAGGGAGCGCCACTGGCCTGCTGCTCTCGGCTTTCTAGACCTGCCACACATGCAAGAGGATCAACGGGGAGCAATTTCTGAGTCACTGGGTGGTGCTCAGTGCCCACTCTGTCATAGAAGGTGGCACTTTCCTATCTCCACCGCCAGAGGAGGGATGAAAGGAAATTGGGGTGAGCTGAGACTTCTGGCAGTTTGACCCCTAGCAGAGAAGGTAATCTGTAAAGAAACTGCCAGTTTCCCTTAAGGCCCGGCTTAGGTCTCTGCTCAGCAGATACTGAGAGGGAGGGCACCAGGCCGCACGCCAGTCTGGAAACACTCTCGCTCGCCTAGTCTTACCCCAGCACAGTAAATGCTGTCACCAGTGCTTTTCCAGGAAGGTTTGCTCTAGGCTCCTGGCTTAAGTGTGCAGGTGAGGAAGTGCCAGTAGCTACAGCGGTTTGAACTGCTTCAAACAGTTGCCAAGAAACCCCACAATACAACTGCCACATGAAGACAAGGTCACACACAAGGTGAACAGTTTCTGCTGGAGTGCAGATAATTCATTAGGCATCAAAGTTCTGGCTTCACAGAACTCGAGACTTCCCCCTCACCCAGGACCATTTCTGACAGAGCAGAAACTCAAACTCAGGCACCACCTTCCACCTCGCCTTCTCTGCAGACACACCAAGGCTTCAGGTGGTCTGTCACGGTCTCTGCCACCCAGCTCTAGATATTCTCACACTAAGATAGTAATTTTCCAACACATTTCATACTTGTCACACTCCGCCACCTAATCAAACTGATAGGAATCCTTGGACTGCTCCCCTGTGAACTGGGAACCTATCGGTTAGTCTACGCGCCAACTTTATCCTTCCACCTGTGTTCCTTTCATCTGAACTCTCCCCTCTTCCTATGCTGGGACGCTGGCATTTTACTGTGCACAAAACTCCTCTTATTCAGGCCACTCAGATTCTCCGAGCAGATGAATTGGGTCATGAAACAAGGTTATGGTGTGTCTGGACAGCCCCTCCTGCCCACTCGCTGGGACCACACTCCCCAGCACCTCCTGAGTCACCCCGTTTCCCCACACTGCCAACACCTATCCTCATTAGAGTCCCGCACTCAAAATAACAGGCAAAAGCTCTGTAGCCCAGGGCGCCCACAGTCCTGCAACACCACACTGTCTGCAGCCCCCTCAGTCCTTCCTGCTCAGCCCGCAGGGTGGGCTAGGCACATGACGCCCCTCCCCGCTCCCCGAGTGGCAGGCTGTTTCTCCCAGAAACCGTAAAACTCTTTCCTCATCTGTGTCTGTCCTCAGCACCTCACCAACATCAGGGCTGAGGTCAGGGCAAGCCGCACGGTTCCCACAGTCAGTGCAGGGCTGGGAGGTGACGGCCTAGATGTTGACACAGTGGCTTCTGTGGAACTCTAGGCACGCAGTGGAGTGTGACCTGCATGTGGAGGTGACCTACACTCTGTGGCCAGTGTGGACAGTGTCATTCCACATCTCCCAAAGGTGGCCACAGTACTGCACCCCACACGTGCCTTCCTCACCTGCACCACTGCCACAGTCTGGTACAAGGAGGTGATTTCTCTGCGCCTCACGGTGTCGCGGGCCCTGCAGCTGCTGTGAACAATGCTCATGCAACAGCAGCGCTGTGGCAGAGCGAGGAGTGCTGTGGAGAAGGCCCTGGGGGGAACAGACCACACCAGAGCCCTGGCCATGAACAAGGTCACTTTTTGCAATATGGTATCAAAGTAGTCACGTCTGACTAAAAATTTTGATGACATTAAACTTCACTGGGTATTCAGATGAATTAAAAAAAGAGGGACATTTTGTGGGACCCTTTGAGACTTCAGTGGTATCTGTAAGAATTTATTTCACACACACGAGTCAAAGAACTGACCCTACCTACAACGTCATTCGACATTTGCTGCATCCTTCTACTTTCCCCACCAATGAATCTGATGAAACATAACACATAACTGTTCTTTCCTCTGTGAATTTTCTACATGAGGTTAGGTAACTCCCATTCAAGGTTGTCCCGCAGCCATAAAGGTAACTGCCCACAATGCACATCTGTGTAGTGAACAGACCCCACACAGAAGAGCTTCAGAGTCAAGATTCATTTTTTACTCAAGATAAGTACATACGACAATTTCAAATAAAGTGGTGAAGAACTTGCTCTCCCTGAGTCATTTGTAATGAAATGAAAACATGGAATATTCTCGAACCAAGGCAAACAACAGGGCATGAGAAACCTACCAGTGAAAATTTGTGTGAGCTGGCATATAAATCATGTTACTATTTGCACTCTTCTGCCACAGCTAAATTACTGCAGCCTTCACGTTAAAGAAGGATAAATAGTGCATGCTGTGCTTCAACCCCTTTCACCACCAGGAGGTCCCTGTGTGAGTTTTTTGATGCAATTAGGGTTATTTACTAACAAAGACCTCCTACATATTTTACACTCCTGGAATTCCTCCCCTGTGTGTTCTCTGAGAGGTGTATCTTCTGGGAGAGACTTCCTACACAGCCACGTCCTCTCCCGCAGCGCCTAAGTGAGAAATCCTTAGAGCTTGGCACGGTTAAGGTACCGGGCACAGGGGAGGAATACATGGCCCTCCAGGAATAGAAGAATGGCTGATTTCTCGAATGGTCACTGTAACTTTTTGATTTGTTTTCCGATTCTGTTGATGCACAACAAAAAATGCTGTGGATACTGTGCTTTGTTTCTAATGATACTCTCGATAGGAATGTAACTTCCTCTATTCTCGATACTGATTTACTTCTGACAAACTCCCTTACAATCTTTAGTATTATTATACAATTAACTCCTATATGCCGGGTGGTTTGTGAAATGAATGGAGAGTAATTAAAAGGATTAGAAAGGCGGATAGATAGGGCATTTGTTTAGCAGCACTGAACCTTGAATACACGGTGGTTTCCTGGGGCCCCAAGTTGGTTTCGGGCCCCTGGCAACATCACAGAAACAAAAAGAAATGAATGTATTACCTGTTCATGCCTCTATTGAAAAAATCATTGTACCCCTCTATTTGCTTGCCAAGAAACACTGTATAAGTGCTTTGCACCCTTAAAAATAAAGTACATTCAGATATGCACGCCTAGAAGTCATGTCTGTCTGTCACTCAACCTTATCCTTGTCCACCCTGCGCCAGAATGGCCATCCCTGAACTTGTCTCCTGCTCCTGCTGCGCTGGTCTGCGGCACTACACGTGGTCCATTCATGGGGTTTCGCTACCGTGTGAGTTTTCTGATGTAAAATCAGAGATGAGATTCTAAAGACTTTGCACATACTTTACATTTGTTGGGTTCTTCACATGTAGGGTTCTCTCCTATGTGCATTCTCTGGTGTATAGTGAGGGTGTGTGTTATATTGAAATTTTTCCTACATTCCTCACATCTTGGGGTCTTTTTCCCAGTATGAATATGCCAGTGCTGGCCTGTTAGCCTGTAAAAAGATTTCCCACACTCTTTACATGCACAGGGCTTCTTCCCTGCGTGAGTTCTCTGATGTTTAATAAGGTCTGACTTCCGGTAGAAAGTTCTCGTACATTCTTTATTCATAGGGTTTCTCCCGTGTGAGTTCTCTGCTACACAGGGATGACTTCTGGGAGAAGATTTCCTACATTGTCTACATTGACAGGTTTCTCTCCTGTATGAATTCTCTGATGTTTAATAAGTTCTGAATTCTGGTAGAAAGTTTTCATACATTCTTCACATTTATAGGACTTCTCCCATGTGAGTTCTCTGACTTCCAAGAAAAAGATTTTCTACATTCTTTACATTCATATGGTTACTCTCCTGTGTGAATTCTTTGATTCATATGAATGTATAATTAGGTCTACATTATACATGATATCCGAAAGCTTTCCTACATTCTTTATTCTCTCCTGTGTGTGTTTTATGATGTATGATGAGGCACTGTTTGTTGGAGAAAGGTTTAGAATATTCTTTGCTTCTGTGGGATTTCTCTCCTGTGTGAGGGGGCAGGGGAGCAGGACAGGGCCTGGGGGGTGGGCGTGGTCAGGTGCGGTTACTGACGCCTCAGGACAGTGCAAGGCCCCTGAGTCAGGAAATACCTTAGCTGCCCACTGAGCAGGCTCTGGGTCTCCCCCAGGTAGGGAGAGGGTTGTCAGAGCCTGGGGCTTATTCCATGGGCTTTGGTAATCAAGTTATTTTGGCTTGTGAGACACGTGAGTCGATGCTGTGAGGGCACAGTGTTTGGAATCAAGACCTGCGGGTGCCAGTGGGTGTACCCCATTTGCGTATCTACCTGGGCTCAGCTAGTCCCACAGAGAATGCCCAGGGACCATTTCCCTACTTCAGCCTCTGGTCTGCTCTTCTGACCAGACACACTGGTCTGGGACCCCCGGCAGAGAGATGCATGCCAGCGACCCTCTCGAGAGGCCCAAGGGTTCTGAGAATCCACACTGATTTTTTCTCACTCACTGAAGCCTAACCTATGAGGAACCACAGAAATGATAGCAAGGACCAAGGTTCTGGATCCTCACCAGTCAATTCCACGCCCACAGCTTCCACTGAGTAGCTGAGCAAAAAGACCGTCACGCAGACTGCGCGCAGACTCTGCTCTCGAGGGCCCGAGCATATGACCAGGACCCTTGTTCCAGGAACACATCAGAAGCTCTCAGTGCTGGAGTCAGTCTCTTAGGACAGCTGATATCTGAGGCAGGTCTCGTACCCACTTAGACATCAAGGGGGCCGATGCGGGTCTAGCCTCTGCCCTGGGTGAAAATGCAATAAATTAAATCCAGAGGTGCCTTCAGCTGAAAGGCCTCCACACCCAGGTGGGATGGTAACACAGTGGGGTGCAACAGACCCCCCGGGCTCCCACTGGAGAGCAGTGTTCCATGGAAAAACAGCACAGTGGGGCACTGTCCAGGCGAGTCCTCAGGCAGGACACGTGGAGACTCTTGACGAGGACTCGCGGGCCTGTGCTCACACAGACATCCTGGATTTTGGAGCCAGCAGCTCAACATGAGATCTTGTGGGGACTTGGTAGAGGTTGGCGTGTGTGGAAGGACTTTGGGCTCTGGCCAGAGTGATGGCATCGTTCCCTGTCTTTCAGTCACGCAAATACAGCCCGTCCCATATGTACTTTAAGGTACCACTGCAGGATTTCCAGGAAGGGGAATGTTCTGTTTCTCCACTGCTGGCAAAATGTCCTCCTGGAGGCAAAATAAGCCCACTAGGAGACAACTCAACTGAAGCAATTAAGCTTTGAAATTTCTTTGAAATATTTAACATTTCCTTCTGGAAATCTTCATCCACACCCATTTGAATTCAAAATTGATATATAAAGTTGGACGTTGTGAACAGTGGGACGCGTCAAAGACATTGTGAAGACTGGACTTCACACTGAGCATTCCCGCTCCTGCCTCTGTCTACACAGGGGTCCCGCCTTTGTTTCTCTTTTGATTTTTTTTTAAAGCTTTATTTATTTATGCATCCAGGACTGGGGTACCAGCCAGAGGTGCAGGGGCAGCGAGAGGATTTACCAGAGACAGAGTGGGGAGCAGAACAGGCCACGGACAGAGTTGGGAGCAGAACAGGCTGCTGACGAAGTCCACTGCTGAGGGGATCAGCGGGCGGTCAGGAGAGGTCTGCCGCACCCTGTGGGTCACCTCCGGGGCGGGGGATCGAACTCGTGCTGAAGTGGCTTTAGCTTCTCAGTGCTGTGCGTTAACCTGCTGTGCCACCAGGGAGGGCCCTCTCACCTTTTGATTTTAACAGTAAGGTTGAACGTGAAAGGGGTTAATATACATTCTTTCCTTGGGGAATCTTTTTTTTTTTTTTTAAGGAGTATTTATTTATGCATCCGAGAACTGGGGTATAGAACAGAGGTGCGGGGCGGGGTGGTGGCGGTTATGGGAGGATTCGCCAGAGACAGAGTGCCGAGCAGAACAGGCATCGCTTAGCTCAGCTGCGGGTGGGTCAGGAGAGTCTGCCACATCACGTGGCTCACTCCCTGGCCGGAGATGGAACTCGTGCTGCAGTGGCTGCGGGCAGCCTCTCAGTGCTGCGCTCTTACCCGTTGCATCACCAAGGAGAGCCTGTCTCAGGGAACCTTACACACAAGATTGGCAACCGCTCACAGAAAGTCACACAGAGTAAATGCCTCCAGTGCACTCCCTGCAACACACCGCCCACGCAGTTCACAAGGGGAAGGCTCGGGAGAAGACATTTCTCACACGTCTGTGTGGGGGGTGCAGTGGACTTCGGGAAAGCTTGACCTAATCAAAACCTACAAAGAAAGCAAGGTTCTGTTTTCTCCCTTCAGATTTCAATACATAAATCCGTACCATCATTTGCATTTCAGGACAACAGGGCATGAAATCCTGGCGCAAGTGGCTTCAGTGCGATTTGATCCCCGCCCTGGAGGTGACCCACAGGGTGCAGCAGACCCCTCCTGTCTCCCCGCTGCTCCCCTCAGCAGTGGACTTCAGTATATCTGCCTGTCCTGCTCCCCACTCTGTCTCTGGTGATTCCTCTCACCGGCTCCGCACCTCTGGCTTGTACCTCCTATCTGTAGGCATAAATAAAATTTAAAAATAAACTAACCTGGAACAAAGACTGTGACCTTCCTTGATTGTGATGTTCAGTATATGCGTAATGACCTTTGCTGTTGTGAGATTACAGGACACCATGCCTGGTAGGGGTTCAGAGCTACACAGCTGTGGTATAAAAATAGGGAATCATGCTCTCCCAGTACTGTATCTGTGTGAGTTCTCTACTGCACAGTAAGCAATGACTTCCATGAGAAGTATTTCCACATTCTTTACTTTCATACAGCTTTTTTTTTTTTTAAAGAACAAAGAAATTGCATCACTCAAATACTCAGCTCTGCTCCACCACAGCTACCCAGTGACAGCTGCATACCAGTAGCTGCAGAGACTGGCCTGTGTGTATTCTCTGAGGGCCAGTGAGAGATCACTTGTGCTTGAAAGGTTTCTTACCACCCTTATCTTCACGGGGTTTCTCTCCTGTATGAATTCGCTGATGTGCAGTGAGGTTTGACTTCTGGTAGAAAGACTTCTCACATTGTTCACATTCATAGGGTTTCTCTCCTAAGTGAATTCTTCGATGTCGAGAGAGGTGTGACTTCTGGGAGAAAGACTTTGAGCACGTTTCACATACATAGGGTTTTTCACCTGTGTGAGTTCCCTGATGTTGAGAGAGTTGTGCTTTCTGGGAGAAAGATTTTCTACATTCTTTACATTGGTAGGGTCTCTCCTCAGTGTGAATTCTGAGGTGTTTAGTCAGGCTTAATTTCTGGCAGAAAGATTTT